CAAGTGTTTTTTTGTCAGTAGATTTTGAACAATACTGTTTTAAAGTTTTTTATCATTATTATTATTTTAATTAATTTTTTCAACAAGTGTTTCATATGAGTGTTTACATCTCATTTGCAGTCATTAAATTGTTCCTAAATTGTATTATATGGTAACACTTTACAATAAGGTTCATTAGTTAACTAATTTAGTTACATTAACTAAGCATGAACAATACTTCGACAGCATTTATTAATCTTAGTTAATTTCAACATTTACTAATGCATTATTAAAATCAAAAGTTGTGCTTGTTAACATAAGTTAATGCACTGTGAATTAACATGAACAATGAACGTGTGTATTTTCATTAACTAACATTAACAAAGATGAAGAAATACTGTAATAAATGTATTGCTCATTGTTCATTCATGTTAGTTAATACATAAACTAGCATTAACTAATGGAACCTTATTGTAAAGTGTTACCATTATATGTATTAGCATTAATATTTATGGCTAGACATCAGTATTAACATCAGTCACTGATCGACTACTAGTAAAGTTAAGAGATTTACTCCGAGATCAAGAAATCAGAGCCTCATGTCCCAGATTAGCCTAACTCACCTGAGCTGATCTGCAAGATACTGCTGTTTGTAAAGTGAAAATTGACTTGTTTTTTGTTTGTAAAAGTGTTTAGTTTAACTGTATAGAGTTAATTTTTTCCCTCAAGTGAGTAGTTCATTATGGGACACACTTAATGTGTGCACAAAATCTTAAGATTCAGGATACAACACCCAGTTCCTGTTTGTCTTGGTGGGAATTGTGTCCACGGCTGCTGTTCTGCTTCATTCTGTGTGTGTGTGTGAGAGAGAGCGTGTGTGTGTGTGTGTGTGTGCGTGTTTGAGAGAGATAGTGTGTGTGTGTGTGCGTGAGAGTGTGTGTGTGTGTGTGAGAGCGTGTGTGTGTGTGTGTGTGTGCGTGTTTGAGAGAGATAGTGTGTGTGTGTGTGCGTGAGAGTGTGTGTGTGTGTGTGAGAGCGTGTGTGTGTGTGTGTGTGTGCGTGTTTGAGAGAGATAGTGTGTGTGTGTGTGCGTGAGAGTGTGTGTGTGTGTGTGAGAGCGTGTGTGTGTGTGTGTGTGTGCGTGTTTGAGAGAGATAGTGTGTGTGTGTGTGCGTGAGAGTGTGTGTGTGTGTGTGAGAGCGTGTGTGTGTGTGTGTGTGTGCGCGCACTGCTGCAGTTCCACATTCAGATTTCTTACTGCTGGCCTTTGCTCAGTTGCCATGACTACGGGTGAAAAAAAACTTTATAAAGGTGTGAAGCCACAGATATTGAGCAATATTTCATGTACATTTTTTATTTTGTAGTGACAGCAGCATTCTACAGTGTGACACGCTATACTCCACCCTAAACACCTTTCAATTATTATGCATTCATGATTTAAATGACATACTTAAAAATCTAAAAATCAGGATCATTTAACAGAAAAATGCACAAACAAGGTTTTTAATTTTTTAATAATTTTTTAATAATATGTTAAGATTATAATTTATTAATAGAGTATTAATATTTTTCATATACACTCCTGGTGTATTCACTCCCCTCTTATCAAAATATAATAACTTGCTGTGCCTCTGAAACAACTTTTCCACTGACTTCACATCCAGTCAAATCCTAATGGATGAAATCGAAATCTTTTAATAATTCAAGTTCTTTCAATAATTATGCATTTTTAATTCATGACATACTTAAAAATTAATTTGTCACACTGCAGGATCGTTTTACTGATAAAAAGCAAAGGGATTAAAAACCTAAAGTCAAATAAAAATTTTATCCGTTAAAGACCACTAAAAGCATCTAAAAATACATTTAATATTTCTGTAAATTTAAACTTGAAATTATATATATATATATATATATATATATATATTATATAAAGTTAATTGCTACAACTTTACAAATCTTTGTTCATGTGCTTCAATAGAAAATAATTATCAAAACATTTAGCATCACAACATTGTATATGCTTTCACAGGAGATTGTCTTTTGGGTTTTCATTTGGGATCGCCGGTGACCCGCTGTGTGGAAACGCACTGAGCCATGCGCCAGTTGAAGGGCAAGCCGAAGAAGGAGTCGTGGAAGGACAAAAAGGAGCGCAAACAGGCCATGCATGAGGCGCGGGAGCAGGTGACAACCATCGTTCTACCGACGCTCGCTGTGCTCGTGCTGCTCATCGTCCTCTTGGTCTACGTGGCGACGAGACCCGGAGCCATCGAGTAAAAAGACTCCAAATAGCCAAATCTCCTCTGCCCTTGTCTTTCTCTTTCATTTCCCCTTGTTCCTTCCCAATGCCGAGTTCGGTGGATGAATTGGACACAATCATAAGGTTGAATGGATTGATAAAGGAGTGGTTTTCTGTGCCATGTTTGGAGTATGTTGAAGGAGTCTTCGATTTTGGCTTCTGACAGAGCGCCTCTCCCAGCAACCAGCATTCACGTCTGTGGCGGCCATGTTGGCTCCAAATGCATTTACAGGGTTCTAGTTTCATGCCAAAGCACCTGAGACGCAGGAGACTCCGACTGACCCAGGAACCGGGCCAGATCTGATGCCTCTGTGCTCAGAGTCAGTACAACTGAGAAGTGACTGTAGTATTGCACATGTCTGTAGCATGCAAACTTATGCACACACACACACACACAGAGATCCACAAATGAACATTGATGGACGTCACATGAAACCATTAATGACAGAATTGTATGTTAACCAGAATGTATACTTCTGATTACTCATGACTGAATGCCTCTTAACAAGAGGTTGCTGATGTTTTTGGTTAAAGTGTGTGTGTGTGTGTGCGTGTGCGTGTGTGTTTGCGTGTGTGTGTGTGCACAAGCATATGCACAAAGAAGTGCATGTTTCTATGACACATCTGTGATATACAATCCCAGCAGCAAACATACTCTTATTTTAAAATGTGTTCCAGCAGGACTTGGATCTAAAAATGTGCCTTAACTTTTAATGACATAACAGCATTTAAAGTATTAATAAAGAAATAGAAAGCCATGCTGACTGCTTTATATGGTTTTAATAAGACTCTGTGTTTTGATGTTTCAAATTTTTCCTCCCATCTGTCTATTACAAAAGTATTTCATTCTTTTGGAAACTGCTTTTGCTGACAAAACGTTGTGTTTTCTCACAAAAAGTATTGCATTTCCCTGAGAAACTTTACATGCACAAGCACTGAAATATAGTTTTTCATGCAAAAGCTTTGCGAGCGCATGGATTGAAATACAAATTTTCCTCCCGTGTCTTCTCGCAAAAGTATTTCATTCCGCTGAAGAACTTTGTATTCGCTTACACAAGCATTAAAATATAGTTTTTCAACGCAAAAAATATTTTTTGAGAGAATGCACTAAAATGTAATTTTCCTCCCATCTCTCTTGTGGAAAAAGTATTTTGTTCCCCTGAGAAATTCAGCATTTGCTTGTAAAACTTTTTGTGCTCTCTCTCACAAAAGTAATGCATTGTCCCATAAAACTTTGCATTTTCTCACAAAAGCATTGAAATATAGTTTATATAGCAAGTGGACTCAGGGATACTTTGTGGAGAATGTTTGCAAACAAAAAACCATTGAAATACTTTTGCTTTCCATAATTCCATTACCATTTCACATTAAAGGCTCTGTAGGCCTTAAACTAGACTAGAGTGTTTTAATATCTTGCTACATTTGACAAACTACACACTTTCTCAGCCTGCCAGAAGATAACTTTTCAATTTTATACTACCATACAATAATTTAAATATCACTTCCATATATGATTGATATTTATGACTTTTTTATGGGAATGCTAACACATAGCTCTCAGTAGACATTATAGAATTGATTTATTAGAACGAGTAAAAAATAAAAATCAGCTACTAGTGTAACTAAATATAATATGTGACTCTGGAGCACAAAACCAGTCTTAAGTCGCTGGGGGATATTTGTAGCAATAGCCAAAAAATACATTGTATGGGTCAAAATGATTGATTTTTCTTTTATGCCAAAAATCATTAGAATATTAAGTAAAGATCATGTTCCATGAAGATATTTTGTAAATTTCCTACCGTAAATATATCAAAACTTCAGTTTTGATTAGTAATATGCATTGCTAAGAACTTCATTTGGACAACTTTAAAGGCGATTTTCTCAATATTTAGATTTTTTTTGCACCCTCAGATTCCAGATATTCAAATAGTTGTATCTCGGCCAAATATTGTCCTATCCTAACAGACCATACATCAATGGAAAGCTTATTTATTCAGCTTTCAGATGATGCATAAATCTCAATTTCGAAAAATTTACACTTAAGACTGGTTTTGTGGTCCAGGGTCACATATATGATATAAATATTCCCAATCTGTATGTTGGGTAAAAATGTAGCCTGCATTATGGTGTAGTAACTGCTAAAACTAACCAGTCAAACTTGACTCCTGGCCATAGCCACTCTATCCGGCGGCTGTATTTGTGTCGCGGCTCCTTTAAGGATTTGCTCCGTCATGATCGCGGTGACATTGCGCGCATAGTTTGTGTGCGAGTCTGCGATGATTTCCGCCGCGCGAGTCAATCTCATCTGCTGTGATCCACTACAAATCTCACATTCAGGACTCATATTCATTGACGGGTGGCTCCTTTCCAATGGCATGTCATCACTTTAGGCTCGAGTCATCTGATCGCGCGGGTTGTTCGGTGCTGATATCGGATCCAGCACAGGGCCGGTGATTGTGTAATTATTATTATTATTAATCATGCAATACTGTAGATGTATTATATAATATAATAATATTATGCATTACGTATAATATAATAATTATATATAATTAATATATAATTAATATTATGTGCATGTGTATATATACAAATTGGAACAGAGTGCATTCTCATACTTTTAAGTTTAATAGTTTTGATGACTTTACTATTTCTTTAATATGTGGAAAATTGTCACGATAAAGAATAGGTGTGTCCAAACATAAGTCTGGTAGTTTGCTGCTGATATCGGATCCAGCACAGGGCCGGTGATTGTCGCGCATGAAACCGGAGAGAGCAACAGTGGAGCGGCTGTGATTTCTGCGCTCCGTCGGTAACACGCCTCCACTTCCACTACTGAACTCATCACTTTATACAGCTTATAATGCACTACATAATCAACATTTAACTCCTTATATTGATATATATATTTTTTAAATGTTAAGTTATTGTTTAGCTTTTTTTAATTGTATATTTATATTTAATGATCAAACATAAGTCTGGTAGTTTGCATAGTATTTGCAACACAATATGCATAATATTTATATGCTTTTCAGCTGCTTAACAATTAGGAACTACTTTGACATTTCGCCTTTTTAATGTAATTGCAAAGAGAAGTTAGTTTTAAAAAGTGTGCAACAAGTCAAATGGTGTAGTTTGAGTTTTCTGTCTGTCATGTGTTTGGAGTGTAATGAACGTATGTCATTGTGTATGCCGTCTACAGCTGATTCCCCGTGTGCCAACTCATCAGAGCACACGACACCCGCAGCATAATCCGCTTCAGCAGGTTTGAACAAACACCCTCCAGATGATCAGCACAAGATGCCAGCAGCTGAACAACTAGGTAATGATGTGTGTTTTACACCACAGATGACACTGAAAACAATCTGTGATGTCTGTCAATGGCTCTTTCTGTCTCTATTGATTCATTGGTTTCATGCATCTCTCTACACAACAACACAGCACTACCATATAATTGTATTCTATATAATATTTTAAAATAAAATATTTAAAAAAGTGTAATAAACACTATAAAATTTTTAAAAAGCTGTAAATAAATATAAAAATATTTTTAAAAACATTCTGTGTAGTATTGTTTTGAATAACAAATATTATTATTATTATTAAAATGCATGATATATGTAAATTTATTTGTTTTTCAAATATTTATTGAAATAAAAAAGTAATATAAAAATACACACAAATATGTATATATAAAATAAAATATATTTATCTATTTTTAAATTATATTTCTATTTTTGTGTACTTTTTTTTATTTTTTATGTTTGTTTAATTTGAACTACACCAGTGCTTTCTCAGCAGGGACACCTGTGTCCTTTAAACTTTAGGGCAATTTTATCTCTGACCTGTTATTATGATCACCAGATGCATGGTCTGAAAAACACACCGTCCACAGACTATTTTGGGCTGCTCTGGTGTTTCTTTATGAACTGAATAAAGCATCAGGGTGCTGTTTTTAAACAGACCTTTTTTTTTTTAAATTATGAACTAGGTCTGTTAAATTAGGCCATTCATTTAATACTCCGTAAGATCCAATGCCTTTAAAGGAACACTCCACTATTTTTGAAAATAGGCTAATTTTCCAACTCCCCTAGAGTTAAACAGTTGAGTTTTACCGTTTTCGAATCAATGATTATTGATGATCGCAATGATATTACACAGCGCCTGAAAATAGGCTAACTTCCGTCAACATAACCAACGTGACCACCTGCTTGCATCGGCTGAATGGATTCGAAAACAGTAAAACTCAACTGTTTAACTCTAGGGGAGTTGGAAAATGAGCCTATTTTCAAAAATAATGGAGTGTTCCTTTAAGTCTGTGGATTTATTTCACGGAGCAGACATGGAGGTGATGACCCCTCTGATGGAGGAAGCAGGAGGTGAGGAGGAGGATGTAGACATAGATGAAGATCCAGAACATCTGCCGCAAGGCATCACGTGAGTCTCACATCAGGGTTTCTTTTGTAGATTTGGGTTAAAACAAATCTGTTTGTTTGCAAACAGTCATTTCATCTGTAACAGATGTGTGTGTGTATAAACAGCATATTCTCATATTACGTAATACACCATGTTGTAACCTCTTTCATGTCTGACATCTTCCTGCTTTGAATAACAACATTACAACGTCTGTTTTCTCTGTTCCTCAGGTTTACTCAAACCCTGCTGCATCTCTTAAAGGGGAATATCGGCACAGGATTGCTTGGGCTTCCTCTAGCAGTGAAGAATGCTGGGATAGTGGTATGTAGCATAGCAGCTTCTGTGAAAACGCATGAGCGATGAACCCAGTATAAATCCATTTCTGTTGCATACAGAACCTTATTTTCCTTCTTTTCAAAGTTTTAAAACTGACCCGGAATCCGGACACTCTTCTAGTTTTTGTGTCCAGGATTTCAGGGTCAGAATGTTAGTAAAACCAGATCATTCCAAGTACACCATGAATCCGACTGTAAAAACCTGAAATGCTTAAGAGGAGTATTAAATGTATTTGTTGTTCCCACAAATATAATTGCAGCTTTATTGCCCCTGTAATTAGATTAGTTTGTGTTCACCATCATGTCCTGATCGCCGGATACTGACTGTTTAATGGGTGGAAAGTTTCAAATGTGAGTTTAAAACAGGTCAGACTGGTTTACAGACTGAACCTGTGCAGGCTGTATTGTGTGCTGACAGCTCAACTGCTGTTTGTTTGTAAGCGTGTCAGTTCACAAACTTTATTGCTGCCATAAATGCCTTGTGCAGTATGTAAGCAAAGTTCAAACTGAGAGAGAACGATAAGGCTTTATTGCTCTAGAAGACACAGATAGTATCTTTTAAAACTGTTTTAAAAGAGTCTAAAACACACGATTCTCTTTTTTTTCCTTCAGCTCGGTCCAGTTAGTCTGCTTCTGATGGGCGTTGTGTGTGTCCACTGCATGCACATCCTGGTCAACTGCAGTCATCAGGTCAGTGAGCGGTAAGAACGCACCAATCACAGCCTACTGCTTCAGTCACCACAACCAATCACATTTCAGCTTCTGTTTTGTTTTTTCCTTTTTTCCCTTTTTCAAACTGTCATGAGTCCTGGCATGATGTTTAAAGATGTAGTTAATAAAAAATGTGAGGGCGAGACATTTCAGTAATGGAGAAGTGGTTTGATTTTGAAAAAAGGGTGTTGAAAAGCAGAACTTGGACTAGGCATAACTAAGCATGGTTTCTGTGGTGAATCAGGTGTTATGATCAGTGATTATTTTCTTAATAAAATACTAATTTCACATTGGAACTGGGGTGCAATGGCTGACGCGAATGCTTTTGTCACATTGAGCTTTGATGCTAACATGAGCGACCTAGGTTTGAGTTATCTTAGTCAGGGTTATTATAGTTAACTAAAACTGAAACTAATACATATTAGTGCTGTCAAACGATTAATCGCATCCAAAATAAAAGTTTTTGTTTACATAATATATGTATGTGTACTGTGTTTATTTATTATGTATATATAAATACACACACATTCAGAACTACTAAAACATTACAAAAAAACGACAGAAATTTACATGAAAACAGAAAATCTAAAAATAAAAACTGATTCAAAATATGAATAAAAACGATAATAGTATCTCAATGATACTAAAACAACACTGACTTTATTAATATTGGAAAGTTTTTATTTTTATATTTTACTTTTAGCAATTTAGTTGTTGTTTTTTGTCTACATGGGATTTATTTGTACTTATTTTAGTTCATCTAAGTGAAAAAGAGAAATAGAGCTGCATTAATAATTGTTAAAAGATTGCGATCTCGATTCAAACACTAGGTGGCAACAAGTGACTGTTAAAAAATGCATTTGTCATCGAGTCATTCATTCAAGAGATTTGTTCAAAAACGCTGATTCATCCAGTAACCATACAAGTGAAAGTAGTAGTCATTGAATCATTCATTCAAACCACTTTTTCATAATTTTAATATTAAAAATTGTATTTATTAGTTTTGGTTTAAAAATTTTAAAATGTAAAAATTTTAAGAATTCATTAAAATTATATAAACACATTTAAAATAATATTTTGTAACAGCCTCTAGTAAATTACACATATTGTTTAGTTCAGAATCGTGGGAGAATCATGATCTCTATTTGAGACAAAAAAATTGTGATTCTCAATTTATCCAGAATCATGCAGCTTTAACGAGAAATGTGCTTAGCACCTAAATGAAAAATAAGTTTATTAATAAGTTTATTATTAATATGTTTTTTAAATATTTTTTAAGGTGTTAGTTTTCGTTAACTATAATCTATTATAACCCTGGTTCTAGTCCAACTTATAATGCTTGTATGATTTTATTTTATGGTCAGCTGAACCCCATTGACCTAAAATATTGCCTTGAAGACCCTTTATAATTGAATATTTCAATAATTTAACAATGTATTTGCATGATCTCAGTTCTGTGATGTTGGTTAATGGTCACATGGCATGCAGGTTTTTATTGTGTTATACATTTTATATATATATACATATGTAATTATATATATTTATATTTTAATGATTTAAATATTAGCTTTTCATCCACTTGTGATCCACTCATATCTCAGTCCCATTCTTCTCTCTCCCGACTAACCTCCTGTCATTCTTCACTTTACCTGGATAATAGACAAAAATAACCCCCAAAAATAGTAATTTCACACAAAGCAGGTTCTCATCTAAGCCTTTAGATAAAGCATCACACAGTGCAGGTGACCAAAGGAGGATTTCAGATTATTGTGACCCCCTGGTGGAGTCCCCCCCCTCTTTTCTTTGAAATGTTTCTGGAATTCTAACCAGACATTTGATCCTGTTGGTGACAGAAAACTAAAGCTCGCTTCTCATGCAACACAGCAAACACGCATGCAGTGAGAGCCGAATAAAGAGACTCCCATGTCGCATTTGAAGGCTGTTCCTGATGGGTAACCTGGAAAACAGATCTCATTAACTGTTCAGATAAACAGATCGTTTGTGAAATTATAGTCATGGTGTTTTTGCAGTCAGCTCAAATATTTGAAGCGTGCATATTGTGTATTCTGAACGCAGCGGTTTTCTAGCGTGTGGACTTTCCTGCAGTCTGGATTTCTGTCTGTGCGTTCACACTTAAAAAACACGCTTCATGCATGCGTTCCCTCTTCAAACGCGATCAAAGGCCTCTCCCTCGGGTGGGCCGGGGTTCTACAGCGTGTGTCAGTGTTCGTGTGAAGAGTTGTCAACCTCATGCTCATCAGTGTGCTGTCATATTTGTCAAGTTATCGCAGTGAGGATATGTTATCAGATTATCAGTTAATCAGATGAGATTTGGCTGTTTTGGGATTATTGTATCAGGGTTATTATAGTTAATTAAAACCTTAAACGTGCACCCCTGCTTTGTGTGAAATTAGTATTTTTGGGAGTCATTTTGTCGATTGTGATGAATGGCGGGAAGTTTAGTCAGGAGAGAGAAGTAGTAATGGGACTGAAACATGAGTGGATGAAAAGCTCATATTTAAATCATAAAAATAGAAATAGAATCATCAAAACAAGAAACTTAATCTAAAAAATTTATAATTAAAATATTTTTACCTGCATGTCATGTGACCATTAACCAAGCTCAAAAAACTTATGTGAATTCATTGTTCAATTATTGAAATATTACATTTTCAGGGGTCTTTAAGTAAAAAAAAAAAAAAAAAAAAAAAAAATTTGGGAATCCCTGCATTATAAGTTGGACTTGAAACATGGTTATCTAAATCTAATTTTTTCGTCTATTTGCCAAGGCAACATTTCTAATTTTCACTTTGTGATGTACTAAAATAATGAAGGTAAATGTGATATCCTAAAATAACTAAACTATAAGTAAAATAAAAATGAATAAAAAACTAAATAGACATATAAACAAAAACAAACAAAAAAATGGCAAAACACACAAGTGAGTTACTAAAACTTTAACAAAAATTACAATGAAATGAAAATTGAAAATATATAAAACAAATTCAAAATATTACAAAAAACTGTAATAGTAACTCCATAATAAAATAACACTGCATTGCATCAGCTTAATAACCCTCTCCATGGATAATGGAAATTATTGTATTAAAATAGTTTTTCAGTTGCTGCAATTGAATTTGTATAAGCTTTTAGCACATAATATAACATATTATATAATATACTGTCTTCATGTGTTAGAAGCAAACCATAAAAGAGGTACGCTACCATTTAAAAGTTTGTGATTGGTAATATTTTTTTGGAAACAAGTCTCTTATGCTGACCAATGCTGCATTTATTTGATAAAAAAATTGTCAAATATTATTACATTTTTTTTTTTTATATGTTGTAAAATGTAATTTATTTCTGTGATCAAAGCTGAATTTTCAGCATCATTACTCCAGTCTTCAGTGTCACATGATCCTTCAGAAACCATTCTGACATTTTTCAGGATTCTTAGAGTAATAGAAATTTCAAAACAACAGCATTTATTTAAAATAGAATTTATTTGTGCATTATAAATGTCTTGCTGTCACTTTTATTTTTATCACTTTATTATTATTACTTTTATCAATTTTAATTTAATGTGTCTTTGCTAAATACAATTATTACATAATCTTATTATATGTTATATGTTGTGTTGTGTTGTGTTGTGTTGTGTTGTGTTGTGTTGTGTTATGTTATGTGCCCAGGGCACTAGACCAGAGGGGCCCAGCCGAAATACTGCTCCTCCAGGAACGCGATTTCAACCGTGCCCCCTCAGGATTTTAAGCAAAGTGGATTTTGAATGCAGCTTCCAAAAGACCAAAAATGGCTGAATAATATGTTATATGTTATATGTTATATGTTATGTTATGTTATGTTATGTCGTGTCGTGTCGTGTCATGTTATATGTTATGTCATGTTATATGTTATATGTTATATGTTATATGTTATGTTATGTCATGTCATGTCGTGTCGTGTCGTGTCGTGTTATATGTTATGTCATATTATATGTTATATGTTATATGTTATGTTATGTTATGTTATGTTATGTTGTGTTGTGTTATGTGTTATATGTTATGTTATATGTTATATTATATCCCTAAAAGATAACTTTTTGGACGTCCCTTTGGTGATGTCCTTGAAAAGGAAAAAGGATTCATGAACTCATTTTCCCTATTTTTAAATCTTTTTTTTTTTCTTTTCTTTTTTTTTGGCATCACCAAAGAGAGTTCTTGTCAGATTTAGCTTGTGTCATGTGTGGTGAACTTTGTTTGTCCTTCCTCTTTTATTGAAGTGTTTTGTCTGCATTTTCCCCTCTAGAATTACACAAAAAGCTGTTTTTTCTGCACTGCTTTGTTCTTGAAGAATATTTGCCTTTGTTTTTCTCTCTCTCTGTCTCTCTGTCTGTCTCTCCTTGCTCACAGGTTGAAACGTTCCCCCCTCGGTTACAGCGACACGGTTGCAGTTGCCATGGAGATGAGTTCCTCCCAGTGCCTGAGGAGAAGTGCTCATTTTGGGAGGTGAGCTATCCCATCATGCAGTTCATTGGCATGACAGGCCCCCCCACACCCCCCGCGTGTGCATATGTGAGAGAGAGAGAGAGGGAAGGCAAGAGGGCAAATGTCTGTGCTTGAATGAATATATTCATTAGAGAGCGGAGAGACAGGACGCTGCCTGCAGTGATCTGATGTCCCACACACAGAGAGACCTCGCGCCCAGAATCTTAAAAAGATCCGTCTTACCAGGAAATGCTGCCTCATTTTTATCTGTGTCAGACGATAATATCATGCACACTGAAAAATAAAACCCTGATGATACTACTACTACTACTACAAAATGATTAATAATAACAATTATTATTATTAAAAAATTAACATTTTATATAGCAGAAAATTCTGTAATCATTACTCTGTTTTGGATAATATATGACATAATTATACATATATTATTATACTATACTAATAATACTAATATAAAATAAAAAAATAATTATAATAATTTTATTTTTATATTTAAATAATGTTAATTAAATAAATATTGTAATAATATTTTATATGGCATATATAGCTATACATTTTTTCATCATTTGTTTGTGGAAAAGCCTGAAATCACCTCGCTATTTTTTGACACTTTTATGGTGCTTTTGCATCTTTTTTAAAGTCTTTATTCATAAAAAAAGAGCATGATCTTTAAATGAAAAGTCATAGAAAGTCATATGGGTTTCGAACAACATGAGGTTGAGTAAATTATGACAATTTCTATTCAGTATTATTTTAGTATTATATACGATTATAATTTTATTCATCTTTTTAATTGGCTTTTATTTTTATATTTTCATTAAATGTATTAAATTATTTGTATATTTTCATAAATTTGTATTTAATTTTACTGTTATGGACTTTTGCCATTTTTTGTATTTGTATTTTATTTTTATTATTAAGTTTAGTGTTTATGTCAGCTTATTTCCATCAGTTGCAAAGCCAACCTTTCTCATTTAAATCAGATATTTACATATTACCTTATTTCAGCTTTATTTCAATAAATAATTTTTTTTTTTGAATAGTTTTAGTTAATAACAATATTTCCATTTTTAGGTCAACAATCCCTTTAAGAGCTTAAAAGGTATAAAAAAATTGTATCACATGGCTTTCTGGAATACTTGATTCTGATTCAGTTGCTTCAGTCAAATATTTTTGTATAAAAGCCTCTGTATGATTGACCATTGTTGCAGCTGATTTCCTACACTATGCTAGTTTAATGTCACTCACATCACACAATCTCTGTCTATAATACTGTGATTTGCTCTCATATCAATATCTTTTGCAGGCACTTGGTGAATTTCTTCCTGGTTTTGACCCAGCTGGGCTTCTGTAGTGTTTATTTTGTGTTCCTGGCTGAGAACATTAAACAGGTGTGTGTGACAGCAGAGCTCCAGAAGTTCATTTTCTCCATAGATAAACTGATTTGTATTATGTGACGGAGCCAGAGCTAATGAAAACTAATGGAAATACACATTTCCAGAATAAAGCCCAGCAGCTGGAAGTCAGATTTCTTCTTCAAATGTAACGGGCAATTCGTGCAAGTTCTGTTTTGAATGAAGTCAAAGCTGCGTGTGTGTTTGTTAGGTGATGGAGGGAGCTCATCTGAACAGCTCTGTGGAGACTGTGCTGATACACTCCAACAGCTCAGAGGAGGGCGCCGTGGCTACAGGGCTGGACCTGCGGCTCTACATGGTCTTCCTCCTTCCCTTCATCATCGTTCTGACCTTCATCAGAGACCTGAGGAACATGGCCGCACTTTCCGCCATCGCCAACCTCTGTATGGCTGTCAGCCTCCTCCTCATCTTCACATATATACTCAACGTAAGTATGTGTGCGAGCTGCACGATTTGAGGGAAAATTTAATTGCCTTTTTTTTTTTTTCAGATTAAGATGCATTTATAAAACGGATAGTTCCGGTCCTTGATTCTGATTGGTTGAGCCATGTTCGAAGCTGTTGTAAATTACTCTACGAACATACACCTTTGTTTACTTTGTCTGTTGCTTGTGTTTCGCGTATAAATTCACTGTAAACCACGGCTTCTTGGGGCTTATTGATTTATTTTATAAAGCTCCAGGTTTGCTGTGATCACATAGCAAATTAGCAATATGACTATAAAATAATAATAATAATAATTATTACTACTACCATTACTACTTAACAAAACTAGTAAAATAGTAATATTTTTATTGTAATATTTTACTGTAAAATCAAGTATTTCATAAAAAATTATATAATACTAATAATTATTATTTATTTAGTAAACAAAACTATTAAAATAAGAAACATTACTAATGTAATATTTAACTGTAAAACAATAATATTGTAATTGTAATATGTTACTGTAAGATAAATCAAGAAGAAACTTAATAAAATAACAATAATAATAATAATAATTATTATTATTATAATTATTATTAAACAAAACTACTATTCTTATTAAAATAAGAAATATTATAATCAAGTATTTAACAAAAATAATATTATAGTAATAATTATTATCAGTAAATAAATCCAAGAATTATTTCTAATGGAATTTCACTACAAAATAAAAGGTTTGCTGTGATTATATAGCAATATGACTATAAAATAATAATTATTATTACTACTACTATTACTACTAAACAAAACTATTAAAATAGTAATATTTTTATTGTAATATTTTACTGTAAAATCAAGTATTTCATAAAAAATTATATAATACTAATAATTATTATTTATTTAGTAAACAAAACTATTAAAATAAGAAACATTACTCATGTAATATTTAACTGTAAAATAATAATATTGTAATGTTACTGTAAAATAAATCAAGAAGAAACGTAATAAAATAATAATAATAATAATTATTATTATTATTAAACAAAACTATTAAAATAAGAAATATTATAATCAAGTATTTAACAAAAATAATATAATAGTAATAATTATTATCAGTAAATTAATCCAAGAAATATTACTAATGGAATTACTGTAAAATAAATCAAGAAGAAACGTAATAAAATAATAATAATAATAATTATTATTATTATTAAACAAAACTATTAAAATAAGAAATATTATAATCAAGTATTTAACAAAAATAATATAATAGTAATAATTATTATCAGTAAATTAATCCAAGAAATATTACTAATGGAAAAAAAAAAAACAAATAATAATAATAATAATTATTATTATTATTAAACAAAACTATTAAAATAAGAAATATTATAATCAAGTATTTAACAAAAATAATATAATAGTAATAATTATTATCAGTAAATTAATCCAAGAAATATTACTAATGGAATTTCACTACAAAAAAAAAAAAAGTATTTAAGAAAAATAACAATCATTATTTTACTTTACAGTACAACTGTAAAATACAATACTGATATGACAGTTAATTATGGCTGTCTAATTTCTTCATTTTCAAATATTAAACCTTTTATTTTTAAACCCCAAACTTTTATTTTGGCATAAACCTCATGGATTCCTTAAAGCTGCCATGAGCTTCAGTTATTGTAATGAAGCGAGATTATCAGCGCTTCTCATTACAAATCTGGGAAGATGGTGGACGCTTGTTACATTCACAAATGCAACTCAAACTGATGCAGAAGAAGAGTTTGTATTGAGCAGCATTTACTGAGAACAGAGCCGCTCTGAGATGCTGAAAAAAAAAAAAAGAACACAGAGCCGTGCTTCACTCTTGCGGTACATATTTATTTAAATATATCACAGGCTTTGTGATTTGATAATTGCACTAAGCCATATCGCAGTCTTGGTTTTATTCTGATTAATTGTGCAGTCTCATATGTCTAGATGTCTAGTCTCATATATCCACTTTTGTAGTCAGGAATCCTCATTGTTCAGTCTAGGAACACGACTGATACAAGCCTATGCATGCAAACGCTCACAAATTGGATGAGGGATTTTTGTATGCAGCAGATCGTCAGGGCTGTGGGCGGCTGACACTAGATCTGTACATGTACTGTTCCTGTACGTGTGCGTGCGTCTTTCATCCTCCATGTCACAAAGAAAGACTGCAATTATAATCCTGATGTGAAACTATATCATGCCTTTTACCATCTCTGACTGTCTGTAGGATGTGAGTGATCCCAGACGTCTGCCGTACGCCTCCACGTGGAGGAAGTTTCCCTTCTTCTTTGGAACAGCCATATTTGCCTTTGAAGGAATTGGAGTGGTGAGATGATGATTCAGGTTTTATTTATTTTGATTTTGATTCTTCTACTATACATGGTGTTTGACGTTAATCTATGTAATTTTATTTATTTATTTTTATCAAATTTTCCTTTGGTATTGAAGAAATTAGGTATAATTATAATATAGTAATTTTACATTGTAGTAATATTTTAAAATATTACTGTATTTATGATCAAATAAATGCAGTCTAGATGAGCATGAGACTTATTTCAAAAACATAATTTTTTTTTTTTTAATCTTCTTAACTCCAGACTTTTTAATAGTGTGCTTCTTGCTTTTTTCTATGGTCTTATAAATTATTAATAAATAATAATTTATTAAAATCAATGATTTATTTATTTATTTATTGTAAATGCTGAGCTAGTTGCAATGCAGTATGGGATTTTTTTCCTGCAAGGAGTACATTTACATTAATAGATCTGGCAGATGCTTTTATCCAAAGCAACTTGCATATTTTCAGTGCAATATTACAAAATAGTTTTTATTTTCTTCTTTAAAAAAACATATGCATGTTATAATTTACTATAAATTGTTATATTACCCTGCCATTAAATTACAAAACAAGTAAACAATGCTGCAAGGTGTGATAATAAATTTGACATCTCTCCTCTTTTGACCACCATAATCAATCTCTCTATGTTTTTCCTCTGCTGGAAAGTCATGGAAAGACAATGGTGGATTTTTCTTTCTTTCACCATTAGAGTAACTGCTGAAACATTTTTGAAAAGGTCTTGAAAATGGTGTTAAAACAAACTGGAAGTTTAAGTTTAAGCTGATACTTGCAGATTCCCTGATTCATGCATTCCCTGGGAATTGAACCCATGACCTTGCCATTGCTAGCTCCATGCTGTGCTATTTGAGCTACAGGATGCATGATGTGCTTCTGAATTTGATCAAAGGAAGGTGTCTTAGAAGGCAGCATCATCTTGCACACTACTTTTTGGACTAGGCTTTGTGCATGTGATGCCTGGAGCAAAGCTTCACCACCTTCCGATCAATCTCCTGGATTTTTCTCTCTCGCTTTGTTTGTGTAGGTTCTTCCATTGGAGAATCAAATGAGGGAACCGAAGCGAGTCCCTCAAGCCCTCAACATTGGCATGGGCTTCATCATGATCCTCTACGTGACCCTGGCGACGCTGGGATACCTCCGCTTCAGAGACGACATCAAAGGAAGCATTACGCTTAACCTTCCACATGACTCCTGGTAAATATGATGCATAGACACTTCAAAAGTCCATCAGAGATCAAAGAGGGGATGTGGATTTCTCTCTACGTTCAAAAGAACAGCGTTTATTTGAAATAGAAATCTTTTGTAACATAATTAATTTAATGCATGCCTGCTGAATAATTTTTTTTTTTTAACAAATCATACTGACCCCAAACTTTTGAACAGTATTGTGTATATGTAATAGTATAAATAAATCGAAATAAGATATAATAGTAATATTATAGTAAAAAAAAATATATATATATATATATATACAGTGGGTACGGAAAGTATTCAGACCCCCTTAAATTTTTCACTCTTTGTTATATTGCAGCCATTTGCTAAAATCATTTAAGTTAATTTTTTTCCTCATTAATGTACACACAGCACCCCATATTGACAGAAAAACACAGAATTGTTGACATCTTTGCAGATTTATTAAAAAAGAAAAACTGAAAAATGCTCAGTATTTAGTAGAAGCACCCTTTTGATCTAATACAGCCATGAGTCTTATTGGGAAAGATGCAACAAGTTTTTCACACATGGATTTGGGGATCCTCTGCCATTCCTCCTTGCAAATCCTCTCCAGTTCTGTCAGGTTGGATGGTAAACGTTGGTAATAAATCTGCAAAAATGTCAACAATTCTGTGTTTTTCTGTCAATATGGGGTGCTGTGTGTACATTAATGAGGAAAAAAAAATAACTTAAATGATTTTAGCAAATGGCTGCAATATAACAAAGAGTGAAAAATTTAAGGGGGTCTGAATACTTTCCGTACCCACTGTATATAATTTATTTAATTTTTTTTTATATAAATTGATTCACGTTAGAACTTTAAAACGGGTTCAGTCCGGCCTGCATCATGTTCCCAACCGAGTCTCCCCTTATGTTTTTCTCGACTACCTCCAAGTAAAAAGCGGCAAAAGCTGAAAAATAAAAATATTAAAAGTCTCATCCATCACATCTGTTAAGTCAGTTCAATTTAGTTATCGCAGCACTCTGCTACAGTGGAGTTAAATTCAGAGAGCTGATATTAAAACTCCTCGCTGGAGTCTTTGAAGCATCCTCTGCATTCACTGTCAGAAACATCTCGACTGATTGATCGCAGCTCGGAGCGACTTAAGATCAAATTACGGAGAAATCAAAACCAGCTGCTTTCAAGTGTAGCTCTAACTAAAGCCTGCCATTTCCAACTAACTTTCCTGGAGACTTTTATTAGCAGTTAACGTATTTCTAGATCTCATTAGCATCCTTTCAGCCGAGGACAATCTGCCACCAGGTCCAATATCTGATTCAGCATCTGGTTTGTTGACCTATCCAGCAGTGACAGCAGTGTTCTGCAACGTGGCACTGTTAAACAACTCTACCATTTAAGTTAATACGTTTATTCTGTAAGGATGCATTAAATTGATTAAAAGTGACAGTAAAGACATTTATGATGTTACAAAATATTTCCAATACATGTTCTTTTGAACTTTCTATTCATCAAAGAACCCTGAAAAAAAAATGCATCACGTTTCCACAAAAATGTAAAGCAGCACAACTGTTTTCAACACAGCAAATCAGCATATTAGACTGATTTCTGAAGGATCATGTGACACTGAAGACTGGAGTAATGATGCTGAAAATTCAGCTTTGATCACAGAAAGAAATTAGTTTACAATATATTCAAATGGAAAACCATGATTTTAATTTGTAATAATATTTCACAATATTGCTGTTTTTACTATATTTTTAATAAAATAAATGCAGCCTTAGTGAGCATAAAAGACTTATTTTAAAACATTAAAACATTTTTCGGACTCCAAACTTTTAAACGTTAGTGTAATTCTTTTATAGTTTGCTACCATTAAGTTGAGACAAGAAAACGAAAAAACAAGCTGTAAAATTGGTGGAAGAATTCAGATATTTAATAAATGTTTTTGAAAAACCATCATAAAAACAAATCAGTCAGTTCTAGTATTTTTAAAAAGAAACTAAACTGGTTCTCGTTTTTCCCAACCCTAATGTTGAAATCGGCATAGTGTGGGTTAATGGTTTTTCAACAAACGCATAGTCTGTGTGTTGAGTTTCCTTGAAGTCGTGCATTGCATCATTGACGTTCTTCAACCCTTAAAGGGATAGTTCACCCAAAAATAAAAATTCTGTCATTATTCCAAACCCGTAAGACCTTCGGAACACAAATTAAGATATTTTTGATGGATTCTGAGAGCTCTCTGACCCTCCTGTAGACAGCAATGTAATTACCACGATAATTACATAATTACAAAGTAAATACTTTTTGTACGCAAAAGCAAAAAAAAACAACAACTTTATTCAACAAGTCGTCTCCTCCGCATCACCCTAGCGCCATTTTGGAGAATATCCACTGATCGTAAATTGCGTATGCTGTTTTGTGTCAGCTGCGCCACGCAGATACGCTGTTTACGTCGATTACGCTTTGATTTGAACGAAAACAGCATATCTGCGTGGCGCAGCTGACACAAAACAGCATACGCAATTTACGATCAGTGGATATTCTCCAAAATGGCGCTAGGGCGACGGATGTCACATGGATTATTTTACCGATGTCCTTGCTACATTTCTGGACCTTGATCGTGGTAATTACATTGCTGTCTATGGGAGGGTCAGAGAGCTCTCAGATTCCATCAAAAATATATTAATTTGTGTTCCGAATTTGAACGAAAGGTCTTACGGGTTTGGAACGACATGAGGGTGAGTAAATAATGACAGAATTTTTGGGTGAACTATACCTTTAATTGCACATTCTGTGGTTTCTGACTGGATCTGTTCTCCGTTTCTCTGCAGTATTCATGTGTGTGTGTGTGTGTGCGTTGCAGGTCTAATCAGTTGGTGAAGGTCTTGTACTCGTTCAGTGTGTTTGTGAGTTTTGCGGTGCAGTTTTTCGTGCCGGCAGAGATTCTGGTTCCGCCCGTGTGTGGACGCATCAGGAAGAGCTGGAGACGGGTGGCTGATCTCAGCCTGCGAGCGCTGCTCGTCTGCCTCACCTGTGAGTGAACAAACACACACACACACGCTCCTGTCTAAAACACTGTGAGCTGCCTCTATAACCAGCATTTTAAAGCATCATAGTCATGTATTTTATGATAAAGCAGTCCCAGAATGCATTGTGTCAATCTCAGTGAAAACAGAAAATCCAAGATTGTGAATCAAATTAAGAGAAAAGTTGTATGACAAGTATACTTGTATTTCATTCAATAAATATCATTTAAAATAGTGTTGCACTATTAGTTCATCTTGTGTTATACTCCTCCTCCATCATCCTCTTTGTTTCTCATTCTGTTTTCTCTGCACTACTTCCTATCTATCTACTTCCTATTCCTATCTGCTGCTCATCCTAATCCTCCCTCTAGTATCCATTGGTGATGAGAGGAGTGATAGTGGAGGTTCGTTCCCCTCCCAAAATGATGGATGGATGCTGTGAACCATTGTAAACCTGAAGGCTTTTGGATTAGTTTGATATATGTTTTTTATCTTGGGAAAAATTGTCTGCCACTGAACCGTGAACCATCCAGAGACCTAAAATATGAAAATAAATATTTGTTTAACACCGTCAGTCATGCAGGTAGAAATAGAAAAAAAGAGCATTTGCTATGAAAAAAGAGAATGAGAGAGGAAGAGAGAATGTTGCAGGAATTGTGTGCAAACGCCAGAGAGTGGATGAAAAAGTGAGTGATGGTGTGTGCTTTTGTATTCGAAGCAGAGAAAAATAGAGCGAGACTGTGTGAAATGCAAGCTGTTTAAACAGGATCTGCCTATCGGTGTTCTTTTAATATTATTTATGTACTATTATAATATTTATTAATATTGTGAGTTTTATGTGTATAGTTTTTCATTTTCATTTTTCCATTATATTTATCTATCCATCCATCATCAAGTTATCATTCTAGCTATCTATTGTTCTATCTGATGTTCTGTTTATCATTCCTTCTATCATCCATCCATCCATCCATTGTTCATTCTATCCATCTATTCATCCAACGTTCATTCCTTCATCCATCCATTGTTCATTCGATCATCCATCATTCATTCTATCCATCCATCCATTTTTCATTCTGTCCAACTATCCATCGTTCATTCATTCATTCATCCATTGTTAATTCATCTATCCATCCATCCATTATTCATTGCCATCTATCCATCATTCATTTTATCATCTATCCGTTCATCCATCATTCATTCTATCCATCCATCCATTGTTCATTCTATCTATTCATCCATCTATCCGTCCATTGTTCACTTATTCATTCTATCCATCCATCCATGGATCATTCATTCATTTCTCCTTCCATTGTTCATTCATACATTCCTTGTTCATTCTATCCATCTATTCATCCAACGTTCATTCCTTCATCCACCCATTTTTCATTCTGTCCATCTATCCATCGTTCATTCATCCATTGTTAATTCATTTATCCATCCATCCATTATTCATTGTCATCTATCCATCATTCATTCTACCCATCTATCCATCCATCCATTGTTCATTCTATCTATTCATCCATCTATTCCTCCTTTGTTCACTTATTCATTCTATCCATCTATCCATGGATCATTTATTCATTCCTCCATCAATTGTTCATTCGTCCATTCCTTGTTCATTCTATCCATCTATCCATTCATCGGTCTAGCAATCTGTCTAGCTATTTGTATCATTCTATCTGTCTTTTTATCTTTTTAGTCATTCTAGAAATTTTTATCATTCTAGCTAACTATCCATTGTTCTACCTATTGTTCTAGACATCATATCAGCTATTAATCTATTATTATAGTTATTGTTCTAGCTGTTATTAATAGTAGCTATCATTCTACTTCTTGTTCTAACCACCTATCTATTGTTCCAGGTATTGTTTTTGCTATTCATCATTCTAGCTATTGTTTAGCGACCTATCTTTCTTGCAATCTACCATTCCAGCGATTGATATTGTAGCTATCTATCATTCTATGTAGATACAATCTTTCTTCACTCCCAGTGGCCCTGCTCACTATTCATTTGCCGGTCTGTTGTTCTCTCCATCTCACTGGTCTCCTTGGACATATCACCTTCTCCGCTTATAAGATTTTTTTTTATTGCATCCATGACTTTCTTTCTCTCTTTTGTCCCGACCTCTCGGTTACTGGCTGCTCGCTCTCTCTCTGCAAAGTTTCAAGTTGCAACATGCCGACATGAAAGAAACAAGGACACCATTATTTAAAGTGAAAAATATTCACATTAATTCATTGCTAAACTGCATTTAACATTTTCAGAATTATGCAATTCCGAGTAAAATGATAGTTGGTGGGAAATTATGTTAAGTGGAACTTGATTTTATCCAATGGAGTTTGGCCAAGATATTACTGGTTTATATTATTGTCTCTGCCCACACAGCAGGAAAGTCATTTCAGAGGCAGAGAAAGTCATTACATTTTGATGAAAGATTATGAAAAACATTAAAAATAAAATGTGCCGTTGAGTTGTGTACAATAAGACCAGGGACATTTATTAGGATGGAAAATAGCAGGGTTCCCACATTCTGAAAACATTGTAATTATTTAAATTAGAAATTGAAACAAAAGACAAATATATTTTTAAAAGGCCTGGAAATGTCATGAGAATAAATGCAATTTTAAAATACTTCACGCATTGTGAGCAAATTGCTCTTTTTTTCAAGGCAGTCTATAAAAGTCTATCCAGTAGTCACAAACACCTGAAAAAATAATGGAAAAAGTAATGACTCAAATAATGATATATAACTTTAAATAAAAAAATATATAAAATTAAAATATATGACTTTAATATCAAATTAATTAAAACAATTACATTAAAAATATTTTAAAAATACATTTCAGAAAACTTAAACATTTATTCTGTATCCACAAATTATATATCATTGTTAGAATCAAATCATGATCTCTAAAAATATATATAATTAAAGAAAAAAAAATATACACACACACAGACCTTTTGACCTTTGAATTGCCATGACTGGATAAAGATTTTTGTAGGTAAAAAATTTAATAATTTAATATTTCAATAAAGATAAAAATTCATTTTAAAATAAAATAAATTCAAACAACTAAAATAAAAAATGTAAAATAAATGTTATTCATCTTGAAATATGAAATTATTTAATATTAATCTTAAATGTCACATGGAACTGCATCTTGTAGGTCTGTTGGCGTGTTTTATGCTGCATGTAGCTCTGAGGAAGTTCTAGAAGAGGCCTGTGGAAATGCTGGTGGATGGGGTAATGAGCTCTGAAGGTTGCGGGTCCGTGGCCTGTGCTGGTAGATAAAAAGATGAAGTTCTCATTCTGTCACTCGCTGTCTTTTATCTCTCTGTGTTCTTTCTGCCTGACGTGCTTCCTCTTTCCCTGGCCCAAGGCCGTCACCCCTCTGAGCGCTGTGATAGATTAGTGGGTGCATTGCGTGTATGGATATACGTATGTGTGTTTGTGTGCCGTGTATGTCTTTTATGGTGTGTGTGTGTGAGAGCCGGGGCAGAGTTAAGGGACTCATTCAGTGTCTGCTCATTTATCTCAGTCTTCCTGAGGCTCTGTGAATTATTACCTGCCTGCCCTACGGAGACAGGCCCATCATAGAGCTCTCCGCTGAGGCCTGTCACGGAGCTCCGTGATAGGGCTTATCACGCACCTGCATGCTGAGGCCCTTCCTTCCGAGACATTCTCCAAGAAGCCTCTGGCTTTGAGGTGTTTGTGTAGGAAGTTAAGTGGTTAAGGCTCACTGGTAACCCAAAGGTTGCTGGTTCAATCCCCTCAAGGATCAAGCTATGGAATCGCAGTTGCTGCACTTGGATCAATTTTGGATCAATTCCTTATCAATTTTGTGGTGCAGTTTTTTAAAAATGTCTATATAGTTATTAGTATTATATTGTTTTAGTGTTATTTTAATCATTATATATTAACATAGTTTTTATTAATGTTTTGAATTGGTTTTATTTTTGTATTTTCCTTATCAATTTTGTGGTGCAGTTTTTTACAAATGTCTATATAGTTATTAGTATTATATTGTTTTAGTGTTATTTTAATACTTCAACAAACTAAACAAATTATTTCAGTTAGAAAATTACTGAAGTAAAATAAGAATAAAATTAATGAGATCAGAATCATTTAAGAATTAAATTACTGAAATCAAAGTTTAATAAATAAAAAATATAAAAAAATCTTTTTTTAAATATTTCATTTCAGTTTTAGTTAACGATAAGTCATTTTGAAATATGAAATTATATTTGTCTTTAAACTCGATAACGCCAACTTGGATTGTCTCTAAAACAAGTATATGAAATAGCAATAGTGATGTTTGCTTCATCAGTACCCATAAAACATCACATTCCTTAATTATTATTCATATTTGGTTATTTGCATGCGTGTTTGTTTTTAGATTTCCTTTTTGAACGTGTGTTCATTTGTTGGTGTTGGTTTATCTCTCATATCATGTGCCGAACTGTCAAACGTTTATCCTGAGGGTGGCAGTAGCACACAGAGAGGAGACACTGAAGCGTTCATGCATGTTTGTGAGATAGTGTTCAGAATGCATAAGCGAGAGCGAGAATCCAGTGTGTGTTACATGTTACTGGTTTCTTCTGCAACAGAGAGAAGGAGAGCGAGACAGGGAGAAGATCTGAGGTGTGAGGTGTGACACCTCACACTCGAATCTCATGAATTAAACATATATGGACAGCCTGTGTGTGTGTGCTTTTTATAAAAGGCTGCGAGGAGCATTTGCAGTCATTCCACTAAAAGCTGTATATGCGCGTGGATATAAATTGTTGTGCCTTTGTTTTCAGGTAAAAGTGAAGGGGTTTTGTCTTCCACGTCAGCAGAAAAGATGAATATTGAATTTTTGATTTAGTCCTTCAGCCACTATCCTCTGCATACACTCGTCCACACACCAGTCAGGATGGCAGAGAGTTAAACACACACACACACACTGCAGTTTGAAACCACAGCTGGATAAATTGTGAAGTTGTTGCTTTGTAGCTTTTTGCACAAACTGCTCATAAATAACATTGGTCTCTATCTGCGTCTTTGTTTCTTTATTATAATTAGTGGCGACCATAAGTATGAAATTTTGATATGTAACATGCCTTGTAGTGCAAACAAGAAAAATTGACCTACAATTTTGGCCCTAGCAACCACTCACAACACCCTAGCAACCGCTCAACACATGGGCAACTGCATTGTGATTGTTTATATATCCCAACACGTCCTAGCAAACAGTCCACCCAGAACACCTTAGCAATGCCCTAGCAACCACCCACAACACATTAGCAACTGCACTGTAACACAACCTAGCAGCCACATAGCAACCCCCCACAACATGAGAAAATGAATTGTGATGGTTTATAGAACCCAATACATCCTAGCAACCACCCACAACTCATAAATAACTGCATTGTAATACTTCAATACTTTACTTATCCCAATACACCCTAGCGAACTCTTAACCACCAACCAGAACACCCTAGCAACCACATAGTAATGTCCTAGCAATTACACAACACACCAACAAGAACACGTAGCAGTGCCCTAGCAACCACTCACAACACAGTATATCCCAACACACTATTGAACACCTAGCAACTGTATAGTAACACCCTAGCAACCATCCAGATTACAAATGTTTTTTACTATTATTAAATGCCATTACAGTAATTAGTAATATTTTCAAATTAGCTTTGTATGTTTTTTTTTTGAGTTTTCAACTTCAGTAATTCTGTTATGTGCTTTCATATATATATATATATATATAATTATTATTTTTTTATAAAAAAAAAAAAAAAAATTATTTAGCTTTAATTTATTTATATTTCAGTCTTAGTTTTAATAATTTTAGAACTAATTTTAAGTTTTCAGGGCAACCAGGCTAATTTATTTCAGTTTTATTTCAATTATCAAAAAAGGTTTTTACTCTTTTAGTTGTTAACAGTAACAAAACTGCAGAACACCCTTACAAAAACATGGCAATTCCATAGCAACCAGCAGATACTCCCTAGCAACACCTTGGCAACCACTCAGACCTGTCAGAATTGTGGCACTGAGTTTCACATGGGCAAACACCACTCATGTTTTCTTAAATCTCAATTCTCTTCATCTCTCTCTCTCAGGCATAACAGCAGTCTTGATACCGCGGTTAGATCTGGTGATCTCATTGGTCGGCGCGGTGAGCAGCTCGGCGCTGGCGCTCGTCTTCCCTCCGCTGGTGGAGCTGGTGGCGTTTCCCAGCCAACCTCCTCCTCCTCTCGTGCTCTTCAAAGACCTCTCCATCGCTGCCTTTGGCTTCATCGGCTTCCTGTCTGGAACCTACGTGACGCTGGAGGAGATCATTTATCCCGACGACCAAGGACAGACCCGTCTCCATGACAATGGGAGCTGGGCCACACCCACTACCTCACCGCCCTGAAGACCACACCCACAAAGAAAAGGACCAATCAAGGCACAGTTTCCATATTTAAAGGGCACAGTGTCATTTCTGAATACTGTAACAGCACAGACGCTTCTTCCTGTGACTGTGGCTCTGGGATGGAGAGCTTGTCTTATAGGGTTTGAGGTGTTTTTTCTTTTTTCTGTCATTTTTCATTCCACAGGCACATGCCGAGGTGTGCGCCTGTAGCGCGGATGCATGTGTGTGTGAGTGAGTGAGTGATGGTGTGCGTGGGAAATATTTCCTCCATACAGGCTTTATGGACTTTCCATGACTTCACCCTGTTCTAGATGGAATGGGTTTTACTCCATCAGGTCGCTGGACCATATAGCATGACGGGCCGTCAGCTTTTAACACTGCGGGAGAGCGCCAGAGAAATATTGCACACTGTAAAGAATGTACATACTCGCTGACTAGAGGTATTATTAATAAACCAATCGTTTCTCCCGAGGCTTGCGATATTTAATTAATTAATTTATTTTGTTCTTTTTTTGGCTGCTGCAGTATTCAGGGGGAATAATGAGTCTTTTATTTAATGACAAACATTGGAACGTTAAATGTATTACAGGCTTTTAAGCTGTTAAATAAAAATCTTACTCTTGATTGTAGAAAATGAGCAGAACTATTCAGGATCCAAAACAAGCTGTTTCAGCCGTATCTGTAATTTGTTGTCATTTAACACAAAGTTTTTGACTCGTCCCTCAGTTTGTAAAGACAAGCAAAATCAAGTTTTTACTAATGCATATACAAAAGAAGGCATTCAAGAAGCTTTATAGTTAAAGCTCTTAATTAAGTATGAAAATGTGTTTCTAAATAATCCTTTTAGTGATGAATTTCTGATTGTTACCAACAAAAATCCATTTGTTACTGTTAATTTATAGAAATACATTTTATTTTTATTTTATCTTCAGTTTATTTTAAAAAAAAATTATATCTATTATTTTAGTGTTCTCAGAGTTTAACTTTTATTTTAGTATTTTCAGGGCTACCAAAACTAACTGGTGTTATTTAAAAATGTTTAATAGAATTACATTTCCCAGCACTCACATTCGTGTTATTGCCGACTAGTGGCATTTTCATGTTAATTCAGATGGGTTGTGAGGGTCTTAAGTGATAGTTCACCCAAAAATGAAAATTCTGTCATTAATTACTCACCCTCATGTTCCAAACCCGTAAGACCTCCGTTCATCTTCGGAACACAAATTAAGATATTTTTGATGAATTATGAGAGCTCTCTGACCCTCCCATAGACAGCAATGTAATTACCACGATCAAGGTCCAGAAACATAGCAAGGAGATCAGTAAAATAATCCATGTGACATCAGGGGTTCAACCGTAATTTTACGAAGCTACGAGAATACTTTTTGTACGCAAAGAAAACAAAAATAACGACTTTATTCAACAGTTCGTCTCCTCCCCCCCTCCTATGACAGAATTTACATTTTTGGGTGAACTATCCTTTTAATTTTAGTTTTGTATACATGGTATATTATAAAATTTAAGAGCCATTAATGACAGAATTTTCATTTTTGAGTGAACTAACCCTTTAATTTGTGACCTTTGTTTTTTTGTTTTGTTTTGAATTGTATTTTGAACAAGCCATGTTAGTAAGTACAGTTATAGTTAACTAAAACTAAAAAAAAATTGTTACTTAAATGTTAACTGGAATAAAAAATAAATAAATAAACAACTTCATAAATTAGATTAACTTCTTCTGTACAAAAACATTATTTGAGCTGCTGTGTATCCAAGTGAAACAGGATAATCATTGAGGATACATTTTTGGCATTAGATTTTAAACATTGTGAATTTATTCGATTGTTAAAAATGGGCATTTATACCAGAATAGCGCCTGGGTGAAAAAAATAAAGAGGGTTTGGTGATGTCAGCCGAAAGGAAATTTGTTTCAGTGCCAGAGGAAATTATTAGAGTTTGATGAAAGATTGTGAAGACGATATTTTTTAGTCTTTGAACTAATGTGAACTGATAATTCATTCACATCAAGTCCGGAACGCGTGTTAAGAATGCATATGGGGTCAGTTTAGCCATTAAACGTGCAATATTCGGGAAGAATGAACTCCAGTTTGCATTAAATTAAATGTCGTAATTGCTTGTTGTCCATATCGTAACGGTCATCGGTGTCAGAATCGAAATATGTCTGCTGATTGCCACGTTTAATAAGATTACTTGAAGTAGAAATACAGATCCGTCCAGTCGCCTAAGGTCTGGCCGTTTCCTCCTATTTCTGATTAATTAAACAGATCTGAAAAAGCTCCAAAGTGACACCAGACAGCCCTTTCTTACTGTCTCTCTTACTCTCTCTCTCTCTGGCTTTGGCTCATTAGTCGGGTCTTGTTTATATTCTCCTCATGTTGCTCCTCTCTCTGCAGCTGGACACCTGACAACCGGCACGCGACAGAGAGAAATAGAGAGAGAGAACATGAAAAGCGAGAGGAAAAACGCTCGGATTAGAGAGAGATGGAGCAAATTAGAAGCTGAAAAATAGAGGGAGAAAGCGAGGCGTGGAGGGAGGAAGAAAGAACGGGGGAGAATTTGCACGAGAGCGCCGAGTGCGTGAGGGGAGTCTGTCTGGCACGTGAGGACAAAAATAGACTTCTGCGAGCTAAATATAGCGCAGATCACAGAGCGAGAGCAAGATGGAGTGAGTAAGAAAGGACTCGCCCGCTCTTTTGGAAATGATTTCTGAAGGAGCGCACCCTCCTCCATCCACCGGCTCCGTTTCAGAAATCTATTTTCGACGTGCGCGAAATTTAACATCTATCATTCAAATGAGAGCGGTAGGACTCACTTTAAAAGCGTGCATAATTCAGAGGGAAGGCTCTCAACGTGATGTGTATTTATAGGTGCAGCCTACGAGAACGTATATTTAGAGTTTCTTTCTTTCGTCGATCTGACACGCCTGGAGGTCTTTGTCACATATGCGTTTGTCTGTAAGGACAGAAACATATGAACGCTTGACTTTGCACGACTGCTCGTCCCCATGAATGAACATGCTTAAAGTGAGTTGCAACTTGCAAGCCATTTTATTCCGCAAAGGAAGGTAGTTTCAGAGGAAGAGTGAATTATGAAGACAAGATGATTTTTGAATTCGGAGTAACATTCACCAATAAAACATTCACAATATCAGTTAAAGCGGAAAATTCTAGTGGCTACCTATACATTGCAAACACTGTCAAATAAAATTTCAATGCAAATGTGCATTACTGTAAATGCAGGTTTTGCAAACTAAAGGTTAGGTCAATTATTTTCTGTAGGCTAATAACAGAAGAATATAGACATCAATTTTTATTGAAACCTTCTGTTAATGTCACTACTACACCTGTGCAACCCAGTTTACTTTTGCTTACAAAAGATTTATCTTATGCTCTAATGCTCACAAATGCTGCATTTATTTTATTTTAAAAAATACAGTAAAATCTGTAATATTGTGAAATATTATTACAATTTAAAGTAACTGTTTTCTATGTGAATATATTGTAAAATGTAATTTATTGCTGTGATCAAAGCTGAATTTTCAGCATCATTACTCCAGGCTTCAGTGTCACATGATCCTTCAGAAATCATTCTAATATGCTGATTTGCTGCTGAAGAAACACTTCTTATCATTATCAACGTTGAAAACAGTTGTGCTGCTTAATATTATTGTGGAAACTGATAAATCAAAAACATTTATCAGTTTCCACAAAAATATTAAGCATCACAAGAACACTCAAAAGAACAGAATTTAGTTGAAAAAAATCTTTTGAAACAAGTGTCTTTACGTTTGTGTTTTTTTTTTTTAAACAAAATACATTTATTAAGTAAGGATGCATTCAATTGATCAAATGTGACAGTAGTGTATATATATACTGATAAATCAAAAACATTTATCAGTTTCCACAAAAATATTAAGCATCACAAGAACACTCAAAAGAACAGAATTTAGTTGAAAAAAATCTTTTGAAACAAGTGTCTTTACGTTTGTGTTTTTTTTTTTTAAACAAAATACATTTATTAAGTAAGGATGCATTCAATTGATCAAATGTGGCAGTAGTGTATATATATATATATATATATGTTCTTCAGTACAAAAACGTTATTCAAGCTTCCATATTTCCAAGTGAAGCAGAATAAGAGGATAAATGTTTGGTGGCACTGGATTTTAAAATGACGTAAATGACATGTGACTAATTACGCCGAAGCTGCAGGATTTCATGATTTAAATGGCTGAAAACTGACCACAGAAGTAGATTGTTTACATTGATGTCTGCTATTTCATTATTTTCGCAATGTACTGCATTATGAATTGTGATCTGACACATTTCAGAATGCACCAATGCATGACTTAAAAGTGTGCATGCAAAAGTATTCAATGAAGTTGTCCACCTTGGTACTTTTTTTGCATGCAACAAATGATGCTACCACGGTGTACGTCCAAAAAAATGTTAATACCATATTTGCATGCATTGAATGTGTAGTAAAATTCTCCCCAAAAAGAGGGCTGAACGAATATGATAATGACTGCCATGCAGTCCTGTGGGTACGCGCACAATGAAATGCACGGCTTTCTGGTGTGTGAACCAGAGCGTGTGTGTCTACAGAAGATGGAGTGAGACGGATGTGTCTACCCGCAGTGATCAGTAATGGATGAGCTGATCCAGGCTTGGCTAAACATTCAAAGTAATGGATGGGAAGAGCCAAGTCTGTCTAAACGCACACAGAGCCCGTCTGTGATGACTGACAGGTCATCTGTGGCTCCCGGAGCAGACCATGTGTCATTGTCACACACCCTCACTCAAAATCACCGCAATCCATAATCTTTATGCATTTGTGCTTGTGTCACGAAATACGATTGTTTACCGTTCTGTTAATCTGAATGCAGAAACGTTGGAGAGAAATGTCTGAATTGCCCTTCAGGGATGAGTAAAGCATTTTCCTATCAGGCATCAAGTGCTTGTTTTGCAAGTCAAATCTAAGATGATGATAGAAAAGACTCAGGAATTTGAGATTTTGATTTGTGAACAACAGTTCCACACCACTGAGGCTAATAAAACATTATGCAGCAATGCACTTGTCACAAAATGACGACAAACCTGAAATATAAGCTCAAAACTGACAGTATCCTAACTAAAATGAAAACTACAGTGGACAGAGCTGGTAGCGTCAGTTTTATGTCAAGATTGTTGCCAGAAACAGAGGAAAAACAAGTTTAATCTGTGCAAACAAAGACGTTTTTTAAAAATATCCACAGATTCAATGATCCACTGAATAAAGTATTCAAGATCGCTGGCTTGCTAAGTACCGTGAACAACAGTGATTGTTTACCAAACGTGAGTCGTTTAATGTTCTTTAGTGGATTAAACAATTGCCTTTTTACGTGACGAAAATGTAGTCAGTGCGTCTGTGATTC